TTATATCCTTGATCTCTATAGTCTCTTTTCTTAACAAACTGCGCTCTCCTCTTTGATGTTTCTTTCTTTTTATTCTCACCTTAGTTCTTTCTAAATATTTATGTCCTTCTTTTTGCCAGGTTCACCTCCACTTTCCCCATTTTAGAGATCTCTCAACCAGATCCTTCAGCAGATATCCACAACATTCAATACCTTGTTTTGCGTTTGTAGCGGGTTACTGGAGGTTACTTCGCACAGCTCGAGTCAAATTCTCCAGGCGGTCCCGATACTCCAATACATAAGGGACAATGGAAGTACCATCTGTACTGACATCCCCTTCCCAGGGGCCCCCTCACCCGCCTCCTGAACAGCAATTCGAATGGGGAGAACCCGGTGGATTCCTGGGGCACCTCCTGGTACGTGAATAGGAGGTCCGCCAAGAATCTCTCCCAGTCTCTGCTGATGGCCAAACACCATGCCACCCATGGAAAGCACTCGAGTTAATTCTTTAATTGTGGTTAACAGCCAGGGTTGGTTGGTGTTCTAAACTAATAAAAAAGGGGGACCACACTTGTTCAGTTCAGTCCATGAACAGTGGTATACGCATACGTTCAGGCAACCTCAGGGAATTTTACAAGGTATGCCACAGCGTTCATCCAGAATAAGTGGAAGAAACTTGATTAAATGAACCGTCTGCTAAATCCTCGTATGTGCTTTCTTTTAGCAGTGTCATATGAGACAGGGTAGCTAAAGGGTAAGTTCTCTCATGCTCCTTTAGCAATCTCCATATCTTGACACCGACACCTCATGTGGTATGCTGCAAATGTCACCGCCTCCTCAAGCCACATCATCAAGCCCTCTGATTGGCATACATTACCCCTAATTCTACTTGTTGCACAAACAATACCAATAATGTTACCCTTTATCTCACACTAACTCTGATGCTAAACCTACCCTAAAACTATGTCTTATGCAAATCTCTACTGTAATCCTAACCCTACCTATAACAATAATGCTAATCCTTCCACACAATGGCTTAAAACATGCAACATTCCATTAGGGTGAAATCATCAAATGAATATATTAGGCTATGGCACCATGAGCAGACAAATGAAATGCAAAAGAATCATTGGTTGCCATGGATTATGAGTTATTTTTATGACATAGTACAAAGTTTGTTTTGAAGCAGATTTGTAATTGATATTGCCAAAGTTTTGCTGGACAAAACCTTACCTAAAGTAGCTTTATGTTATCATTGAGATGCCAGATATATTTTACACCCCTTTATAAAAATATCTGCTTGTATAATTTTTCTGTTTTTGTGCTCTGCAATTTTGGGCACCTGTTCTAAAGAAGTATATCATGGCACTAGAAAAAGTGCAGAGACGAGCTACAAAATTGATAAAAGGAGTGGAGCATTTTAGTTACGAAGAATGGTTAAAAAATTTAAATCTCTTTAGTTTGGAAAAATGGCACCTCAGAGGGGATATGATAACATTATACAAATATATTTGGGGCCAGTACAAACCATTATCTGGAATTCTATTTATAAACAGGGCTATACATAGGACACAAGGTCACACATTTAGGCTGGAAGAAAGGAGATTTCATCTAAGGCAAATAAAATGTTTTTTTACAGTAAGAGTAATAAGGATATGGAATTCTTTGCCTGAAGAGGTGGTTTTATCAGAGTTCATACAAATGTTTAAAATAAAATTGGATAAATACTTGCAAAAACATAATATACAGGAATATAATTTCTAATAAGTGGGGTAATAGCTGCTTGATCCAAAGAGACATCTGACTGCTATTTTGGGGTCAAGAAGGATTTTTTTCCTAGTTTGTTGCAAAATTGAAAGCACTACAGACAAGGTTTTTTGCCTTCTTTTGGATCAACAGCAAAAACATATGTGAGGAAGGCTGAACTTGATGGACGCAAGTCTATTTTCAGCTCTGTAATTATGTAACTATGTTTTCATTTTTAGATATATTTTTGCAGCAATGTGTGCATAAAACATTTGTTGTATTTTTCCAAAATTTGAGTGCTGGATAGCTAAACTGTGTTTGAACTGTGGTACATTTATTATATATTTTTTTCAGAACTTTAGTTGAGGGGTTACATTTTGTTATTATTATTTCAACAGATATAGCATTGGCATTTATTCAAATACTGCTGTGACTCAGTAAGTTCCACACATGAACATATCACACATAATTGTTTTGAACAATCTCATCTTTTAATAAAAGAGTGTAATAGAATGTTAATTCACAAATTGAAGGATACAGTTCTTGAAATGCAAATATGAAGCTGATACTTTGTGATGAAATCTGTCTATGTTTTTGCTTCACAAATATATTCCTTACAATAGTTATTCGTTTTTATTACATGATTTTCTCTGTTTTCAGATTCACATTAAGATAAAATAAATACATATTTTTTTGTTCTAAATTTTAAAGTTTCTTCACATATGTCTTTACTTGACATTTAAACAACTAATTAGTTTTATAGAGATGACGTGCTTTATTGTTAGAGTAAGACAGATTTTGGAATTTAAAAGAACTATTACATTAGAAATACAAACCTGTTTTTCTAACATCAGAGGCACTGATGGCTAATTAGATTAATGTCATCCCCTAAAATAGTAAATAGATTTAACTAACCTTTCTTCCCATGTCATGTTGGTTTCACTGCAGTAACCACTGCAGAGTAGGGCAGACACATTTAGCTTCTGTTCCAGCCTGTGACTACTGCTATAGTAGCTATTACCATGAAGCCCAAACTGACTCTCTGATATCTTACCAGCATTTATGGCACCCAGCAAATATGCATGCAAAACCTCAGTGCCAACATAGCACGATTCTTGTATATGCACCCAAATTGGCTAATGTTCCGATGGCCCATCTTCAGAGACCTGAATTGACATTCTACTGGTAGAACAACCCCAACTTTCCTACTGGCCTTAAACTGAAGTGCTGGATAGCCACCAGCCAGCCAGACATGTTGTGAGTAAAATCGATGCTATATTGCAAGTCACTATTTAGCAATTGTTACTCCATCTTGTTCTAGCGGAATGTAAAAAAAAAAAAACACAGACAAAATTTTTTCACTATGCAATTAGTGAAAAGAGATAAAGCTTGTGTCTGTCTTATCCAAAATCCAGTTCATAAAAGCCTTGGACTGTAAGCTTTATCCAAGAATCTAATGTGAGATAAGGTGTCTTCTTACATTAAAGGAAAAAAATTAATAGTGGACCAGTGAAGGCCCTAAGGAGAGAGTAGCAATAAAAAGGAGGGGATGCCCTACTTTTTTTTTTTATAATTCTTTATTTTCTGTTGTGCATGGTATAACAGTAGGCTTGTTCAGCCACAATAGCAGTCACAAGCGGTATAATAACAGACATAGTAAACATAACATGGCATATAGATAGGCAGCACATTTTTTGTTTTTGTTGAGAGGAGGTATAGACAGTTGGTAGACAGTAATAGAGTGTGAGCTTTTCTGTCTGCCTGTGATAGTTGTGTAAGATAACTTTTATAATCTAGTACATGCTAGACAAGTTATGAGGTTAGCGTATATATGTATGAGCAGTCTTAGCTGGTTCAACGTTTATAGAATATGCTTGGCAGATTAACAGTGCTTCATCTATGTGTGTGCAAGCTGAGGCATAGTGTGTTGCATGCTGGATCATATCTTAGTGTGGTATAATGCCAGTGTTCAAACGTATTTATAGATCGTTGCGCAAATATTAAACCGCTCCAAACCAAGGAAAGTCCTGGGACCACCTAGCCACCCCAGTGCCCCGAGTGTGGACATTTTGAGAGCTGGTAAGATAATAAAAGAGAAATCAAACTTAAAACATATAGTTAGGTTCTGCTGGGGGGGGTACACCGCTGGGGCTCTCCCTGTTAACATTACCGACAATAATACATGCAAGGGCAAGTAAGTAAGTCCCTTGGTGTCTGGGGTCGTGCTGGTCGGTGAGTGTCTCGTCAGCCCACTCCCCGGACTGGGAATTACCAGTCCAATGTGTGTGCAGTATTATACTTGCAATATAGTATTGTAGATTTTGCATTCGATGTGGAATAGCTGGGTATGTGAGTGGTTAAACAAGATTAACATCATGTTTGTAAAATACAAGTTGGGAGGAAGAGAGAGCCTATAATATTAAGAGAGTGGGGCTGCTGCGCAGAGATTGGGTGTACCTCTCTAGCTGATGTGCTGGTCTCATGTGTGGGTACACATATATTGCGGAGGAACATTAAGATTGTGATCCTGTTGGGGTCTGGGCAGGGATAACAGTGATGGAGTTAATCGGACAGCCTGAGGATTTTCTCTGACCTGGTGAGAACTGCTCTCTCATCCTGTGCCCATAGGGGGCAGACTAGAAGCGTGCCTATACAGCAGGGAAAAACTTTAGGCTTAAGATCTACGCTTCGTGCGTCAGGTAAGGCAGACTAGAGGTTATTCAAATTAACATATTGACTGTGAGAGAGCTTAAAGGCACAGGCTTAGTTAACACTTCTCTGTCACATGTGAGTCACTAACACAAACAACGGTTAACTTAAAGGGCAAAGTTCATATTAAACATAACTATGTCCCAAGGCTGTATGGCCTCCACCGGTGTCCGGCAGGTCAGGTAGCTCCCGCTAGGCTTGTGTAGCAGGAAGAAAGTCCACAAGGTCCAGCCAGGTCTCTTGGGTTGAGGGTCCGGTGTTCACCGGGTGTTGGCGTCGGGCATGGGGTGGGAAATGCTGTTAAACTACTTACAGTATGTAGTAAGCGGGTGTGTCCGTTTCTACAAGGGAAAGTGTGGTTGTCGGTGCAAGAGTTTATTGTCCATTCCCTCCGGTCTTTAGTGGCCTTTGTGGCTGTTTGGGCTGTCTTGATATATAGTCTGGTAGCATACTGGGCAATAGGGTGGTATTCATGAGCTCTAGTGGGTGCACGGTTTTTGCTCTTAAGTTGTGATCACTGCGTAAGAGTATGGCGTGGAGCCCTGGGGGATGAATGGAGTGATCCGTCATGGGTTCCAGGTGTGAGTGCGAGATGGTGAGATGTTGTTGGTTGGTGCCTCTGTAGAGATAGAGTCTTGAGGCAGACCCAGGGTTTGCAGTATGGCCAGGGCTTCCTGTATGTCCTGGATTGTATGTCTGTTTGTCCCCTGTAGTACCACCAGTGTTCTGGCGGATCGCCAGCGGTAGGCGATCTTGTGGTGTTGGAGCACTGTGGTTAGTGGTCTAAGCGACCTGCGCCAGGCTAGAGTGCCCCTGGACAGATCCGCATAGAATGACAGCTCCATTCCTTTGAAGCGGAAGGGGGTTCTGCTGCGGTGGGTAGTGAGGACCGTTGCCTTATCACTGCTGTTGCGAAGGGTGATGATGACGTCCCTTGTGGCTGTAGTTGGTGCGCCTGCTGGTTTGGGAATCCTATATACCTCGTTTGGGATAATTGGTGTAGTCTGCCTGTGTGGCAACAATGCCGGCAACAGGCACCCTATGAGTTTTGGTAATTCGGCCTCTGGTACATTTTCCGGGACTCCCCTGATCTTTATGTTAGATCTCCTCATGGCGTCTTCCTGAGCTGCTAGGCGATGCTCGTAGTGCTGGGTTTGGTTTTGCAGGTCTTGCATGGACTGTTGCATTGCGGCGATGTACTGGGCCTGAGATTGGGAGGATCCCTCCAGTTTGGTGATGCGGCTTGTCAGGCCTCGTAGGTCCCCGCGGAGCGCTGCTACATCCTCATGGATGTCTCTCTGCAGGTCCGCTAATAATGCTTTTAACACCGTTGTGGTAATAGGCTCTGCTTCCACCTCTGCACCGCGTTGTTTAGCCTTCTGTGGCGGGTTGGGAGCCCGTAGGTATATTTCCTCTGTGTCGTGGGACATTTTGTCCGAGAAATCCGAGCACCTGCCATGCAATGTTGCCATGTTAGTTTTGTTGGCGCCCTGTGCTTGTCTCCACATTTCCCCGATTGTCAGCCCCGAGGTAGGCTTGTTAGGTATAATTTTTTTCCCCTTACGCCCCACCTGGTGCTGGGGTGTTTTCCAGTCGTTTGGGGTTTGAGGGTGGATTGTTTTAGTCGATTTTCCCAGTGTAACCATCGGAGCTCCCAGGTTTCGCGGCTGTTCACTTCGGCATTCCGGCCGGGGATGCCCTACCTTTAATACATCGAATGGTAAGTTTTATTTTTTTTACAGGTACTTAGTTAAAGGACTCCACTCATTATTTTTAGGGTGAGGGGGGTAGGTAGGGGTTTATTTTTTTGGGTGGGGGGGTGACTAGGGGTTTGGGGACCCCTAGTCACCTGGGGTGAGGGGGGTTAAATTTGTATTTAGGGCCCCCACCCGCTGCTCAGGGGTTGGGGGCCAGGGGGGAGGACATTAGGCCCCCCCCAATTTGTATTTAGGGCCCCCACCCGCCGCTCAGGGGCCTTTTTTTAACAGTGAGCAGCCACTGTTTAATAGACATGCCCCTACTCGCGGTATAGCGAGTAGGGGCATAATTTACTAATCCTAAGTAATCTTTACTTAGTATTAGTAAATTTGGCTGAAAGACCAATTCAGGTCTTTCAGCCTTTTAGTAGATAGCTCCCTAATATCGTGGGAATTAGGAAGTTATCTACTTTTTCATTCCTGTCATTACATCACTGGCTAAGTAACTTACATTTTATATGAATGTATGTTACTTGATTGTTGAAAGTGTTGCAAATGCTTACAGCTGAATCCTGGCTATGTTTGTATACTTTTTATTTGAAATTGTATACAATGTAACATTCTTCTTTCACTGGGTAAGTATATTAATACTTAGGCAATACTGTGCTTCGGAACTTCGGCACTTTGACACCTCGGAACTTCGTCAACTTTGGCACTTCGGCAATTCGGGTATTCGGACATTCGGAAGCACCTGAATGTCCGAATTACCCAAAATTCTGCCAAATTTTTATTTGGACCGAAACGAATTGCACATGTCTATCAAATATACCGAATCCAACATAGACAATTGTTGCTCTTTAACTACCAGCTTCTAACAAGTGAAATAAATATCCTTAAAAATTACAATAATAAGTAACTAGGTATTGGAGATACTGCTAGGATGTTTATGTTTAGATTATAATTTTTTTTGTAAGTGAATATATTAAATTTTATTGTGAGTTTTCAACGGTGTTAAATAGAAGTCTGACAAAACAAAACCTGCAGGGCCCACTATGTTGCATTCACTGTAGTTGAGACTAGCAAGTCTCACATGTGTAGCAATGGTTGTGAAGAAAAATGAAAATAAAAATGGTGTAAAAATATACATAACTTCATATGTTGTAACTTCAAATTAGTATCCTAACCATAATAACAACCAAAATGATAAAGTAGATAAAATGTTCAACTCGGATACAATGGTACTGCAAGTAAATCTAGGTAGGTATTGTTGCTTGCTATTTTTATGTTATGACAAGACTAAATTATTTTTGAGTTCACTGTTACAAAGCTATGAAAGTGAGGGGGTTAATTAAACTCAGATACATAGGGTACAATGTGGTCCTTATGGTAAGTGCATCAACTGGATCATCTACATGAGTGATTTTGTAGTGTATATTGACCTAAAAGACTTACGTTGGTTATTGATTAGATGCTAGAAAAGAACTATGGATATATTTCAATATAATGTTAAAATATGTAAAACAACTTCAAAAAAGAAGAGATTGAACTTTCCCAGTTTGTAGTATTCAGCTATGTGCGAAGCAATGCTATAAATGCATTCAACAATTATATAAAAACCTAAAGCCAACCTTGGTGCAGTGGCACCCAGATAGAGTAAGGGGTTTTCGCCACGAAGAGATGTCCTTTCTCCCCTGTTGTGAGAGGGAGGCTGTAGAGTAGAGCTGGAATAGCTTGTAGAAGAGCTAGTGATTATAGTACTGCAAAGAGCAATCCCAGGAGCAGGGATTGCAGCAGGTATAGCTTTTCCCTACAAGTATGAGACGAGGCTCTGTGTTGAGGGTAAATCAGGAACTGAAGGTTTAATGTGGCACACTGGCCTTTTATACAGTCTTCCCCACAAGGTTACCACCCAGGTGGACCTTGTGGGGCACAGGGACACAGGATCAACAAACCAATAAAAACAGAGTTTTACATTCAGACACTCCCATACAGTGTGCACAATCCCTCACCTCTGCTTAGGAGATAATTGAGTTAATTACTGTATCAACTCAATTACCTAAAAACAAAAAATACAACTATTTTACACATTTTTAGAAAAACCTCAAAAACATAACAAACCCCCACAAAACATACATTTCCTGGAGGTCACGTTTCTGCCCGACCGCCCACGAGGCTATTGCCCTGAATAGTTCCATAAGTTCAGCTAAGTCGGACGGTCTATTTCAGGGGTAGGGAAACACATTAACCTCTTCAGGACTGAGTCAATAGTACACGTTCTGATCAAAACAAAACATAAACAAAAACTGGTATTTGCGCTAAATGTCTGTTCACCCGTAATTCACCGCTGTCACATTAAGTGCACCCACACTTATTAGATATCATTTTGTTCAGGAGAAACAGGGCTTTAATTTATCATTAACTATTCATATGTGGAACATCATTTATTATGAATAAAATTATTATTTTTTTTAGAAAATAAGATTTTTTTTTTTTAATTTGTATTTCTGTCTGACATTTTAGCTGTTAATGTCATAATACTGTTAGGTATTACTGCAAAAAAATGCACATATTTGTAACCAGCGATGTCTCACGAGTACAACAGTACCCCCCATTAACAGGTTTTATAGTGTTTTGGAAAGTTACAGGGTCAAATATAGAAAGTTCCATTTTCAAATTGAAATTTGCCACATTAGTAATGTTACCTTTGAGTCGGTGTGGTAGCTCAGGAATGAGAATTACCCCTATAATGGCATACCATTTGAAAAAGTAGACAACCCAAGGTATTGAACGTGGGGTATGTTTAGTCTTTTTTAGTAGCCACTTAGTCACAAACACTGGCCAAAGCTAGCGTTCATATTTGTTTTTGTGTGAAAAAAGCAAAAAACTAATATTTGGCCAGTGTTTGTGACTAAGTGGCTACTAAGAAAGACTGTACATACCCCACTTGCAATACCTTGGGTTGTCTACTTTTGCAAATGGTATGCCATCATGGGGTAATTCTCATTCCTGGGCTACCATACGCTCTCAAAGGCAACATAACCAATCTGGCAAATTTCAATGTCAAAAAAATGAAATGCAAGCCTTATATGTGACTCTCTAACTTTCCAAAACACAATAAAACCTGTACATGGGGGTATTGTTATTCTCGGGAGACTTCACTAAACACAAATATTAGTGTTTTAAAACAGTAAAACATATTACAACAATAATATAGTCCATAAAAGTGCTGTTCGTTTGTAAAAAATGCAAAAAACTTCACTTTTACTTAAAATATCATCATTGTAATACAATTTACCAGTTTGAAACACTAATATTTGAGTTCAGTGAAGTCTCCTGAGTAAAACAGTACCCCCTATGTACAGGTTTTATGGTGTCTTGGAGAGTTACAGGGTCAAATATAGTGCTTGTGAATTAAATTCTCTGCACTTTCTCCCTGTGTGGTCAGGCATGTCAATCAAATTTTAATTAATCAAATCACATAATTATGTTAAAAGATTATTTAAATATACACGTAGAATTTTAATATATATGCATTTATAGGTATTTAAATTCTACATGTATACTAATGTAATCTTTTTATGTAATTATATGTATTTATCTATATATATTTATTTGCGGTTATTTGTATTTTATATATAGATAGCTATATATAGAATGTCATTCTAAGTGTATTTTGTTACATATATATATATATATATATATATATATATATATATATATATATATATATATATATATATATTAATAACAAAATACAGTTAGAATGAAATTACATATGAATATATAATTTTAGTAAAATTTTGTTTCAATATTTTATTTATTTATTTTATTATTTTATTTATTAATGTAATTATACGTATATATATATATATATATATATATATATAATATGTGTATATATCTATTATATATATAATATATACATATTATATATATGTAACGTCATTCTAAGTGTATTTTAATACTAATATATATATACTAATATTAGTATTAAAATACACAACGTATGACGTTTTATATATATATATATATATATATATATATATAATTTATTTTACACATGTTTATTTTTCATTTTATTTCATTTCCCACCAGCAGGGGGACTGTCTGCTATTTCAGACAGCCCCCCTGCTGGCAGATCCATAGCCAGCTATAGGGGGCCATGTGATCGCTCTTTGAGAGCCATCACATGGCCCCCTGGGGGCCTCACTTGCCGGAGGAGGGCTGTCTGGGCGGTCAGGCAGCCCTCCAGAAGAGGATCGCAGCGGGGTAAGTAGCTGCGATCCCCTGGGGGCTTAAGCCATTACGGCATTCTATGCCACCGCAACGGCTTTAAAGCCCTTTAAAGCCGCGACGGCATAGAACGCCGTAAAGGCGTTAAGGGGTTAAATTTACGAAATGACTGTTATTGTATCTGATTCTCCAGTGTCTCTTGTTTGTGTGTTTCAATGTACTGCGTTCATATTAAAAGAAAACGAATTGCTGGAAGTCCTAAACACCGCTGGCCGTTTAACAATTTAAGATGGCCACCGCCACGTGTTCGTGCATACGAGCAATGACCACCCAATGACCACCCAGCCGTTCGTCAATTAAGCTGTGGTTAACCACAGCTTTTGGGAGGTTAACGAGCAGCACACTCCACTTGCAGAGTGGTCGGTCATTCGGTAATTAGTACTTTTTTTGAACAAAATCATACTGTGTATAGGAAAAGTTAAATTCACCAAACAAACGAATGAACATATAAGGAGAAATATCAAATCCAGGGACAGAGAAGTCTGTCACACTTGGTAAATTAGCTTTTATTGGTATTTCTACTTTTGTAAGGCAAGGAACACCTTGGATCTTGATGCCAAATATTTTGTTTACAATATCTGTCAATGGTAAAATAAATATCATGTGAGCTGATTGGTTGGAAAATAATCATATACAATTGTACAAATTATTTTAAT